TCGCGGACCTCCTGGTTTGTGACCCAGCGCCTTATCAACTTAGCCACCGCGGCTCCCCTTATTTAAATACATTTAATTTTAATTTGGACAGTCCAAATCCGTAACTTCCCGCGGCATATTTAGAAATGGGTAAATCTCATCCCCAATTATGCTGGCCAACAGCAATATCCTCCCACATGATCAACGCTTGTCACTCAGACAAAGCGACAATTGGACGTTTTTACTTCCAAATTTGTATGAGGTTGCAACCAATTGACCATCGAAATTTTGAAATATACTAAACAGCACCCCCCCCCCCCCAAAAAAAAAACAACCGTGAGTACGATGTCAAAATCAGAGAGGCACTTTAATCAAATCATTCTAGAAAACGACTTACTAAATGGATCAAAGCAATTTTTTTGTGAACAGTATGTTGACACATAGTGATTAATTCATCACAATTCCACGACATTACGAGAAGGTTTACAGTCTGTACACAGTCTATACATCAGTATCTGGTGTGTCAATAACAGCAGCGCAGCGTCTGTACATGGAGTGGACCAGACGATCGATAAACGCCATTGGCACCTGGAACCACACTCTCAGAAAAGCCTGGCGCAATCCATCGGCTGTGTTTGATCTCAGTACGACGTTATTAAGTCTCCTCTGAATTTCATCCCAAAGATGTTAAATCGGGTTTAAGTCCGGACTAAGGACTCGCCAGTGCATAAGTTGACACCGGTCTGTTGTAGAAAGTCACGGGTAAATCTGGCGGCGTTGGCACGGGCGTTGTCGTGCTGGAAAACGTTGGTTCGATGACGTGCGAAATGTGATATGACGTGGGGTCTGAGAGCTTGATCGATGCAGGGGCGCCCCCCCCCCCAATTTTCGACAGTGCCCTTTTTTACTGCTGAAAGTGCCCTTTCTCAGACCCAAATATGTCCGTTCCCAACCCGTTGCAGGGATCCCAAATTGACTTAAACCCCCCAGTCTGATCAAAATAATGCTTTCACTTTCAAACGAATTCTTGTTGTTTAGCTGACGGTGCCCTAATCCTATAGAGTGGCAATAGACAGACATCTTGCGGAATCGGCGGCGTATACACTCATGCCCATCACCGACGCACATGAGTGCAACTTGATGTAGCATTGTTTCATGTGTGGACAGTACAAAGTACAAGTTACAAGGCTTAAATAGTGAAGTGGCTAGGGAATAGATTCGTCTTTTTTCCCATCATAATGCCTCGCTCGCCTTGACAATTTTCGAGTTGCATGTTCAACTGGCTTTTTTGCTCGATTTTAAGGCTATTTTTCAACGATTTCCGAACGTTTACTTAGACGAAAATATCAGCCAAGTAGCTTTTGGAATGGCTACAGATGCAAGGAAATGACGGATAATTTCTTGGGACCCCCCCCCCCCAAAAAAAAAAAAATCCCCTCTCAGCGGCGTGCCCCGTCTCCGCGGTCAGTGCCCCCATTTTGCGGCGCCCCCCCCCTTTCAAAATTCCTAGATCCGCCCCTGCGATGTAGCGCACTGCTGTGATGCCGCCTCCTCTTCCTGGATTAAGATTTTGGAACACCACAGGACCCACTCTCTGGCTCAGGCCGATTCCACCCCAAACCACTATGCATGGACCTCCCCACATAAGTCTCGTTCCATGACACATTGGTCAGAATAACGCTGGCCACGTCGACGCCATATTCTGGTCCTGCCATCTGCAGTTGATACGCAATACCGACTCGATCTCATCTGTGAACAGAACAGTTCTCCATTGCCTGTGTCGCCAGTTCTGGTGTTGTTGGGCAAACTGTAGACGTTCACGTCGATGGCGAGGGTGAGGATCGGTCCACGATAAGGTCTACGGCAATGGATGTTCTCTCTGGTGAGGCGTGGGCGCACTGTATCGGTACTGATGGGTTTTCCGTGTGTTCCCACTATCTGACGTGATGTCTCAGATGCCTGTGTGAAGGGAATCTGCACGTGCTGTCGCACAACATGGCGGTCTTATCGCCTTGTGGTAACCCTTGGTCTACCAGTTCGGGGGCGATCATCCGTGGTATTGGTGGCCCGAAAGCGTTGCTGAAGCCTGTAGATGGTCCGAATATTGACCTGGAAGTGATATGCAACGGCTTGGAAAGTGTGGCTCGCGTCGAGTCTTCCAACCGCCCAGTTCCTCTGAGCTGTCGTGAGTCGTGGCATGCTGCTGACGTTGTAGTGTGAATGATTCAATCAGGTATGGGGGTGCATTTTATAGGGCTGGTCCCGGTGAACAGCACGTGCAGCATGTGTTACATGAAAATCATGGAGAACACATTATATCATCTCAGAAGTCAGGTTGCGTTTTTGAGAACATTTCCTGAGTTCAATTCTGTGTTTGGGAAGGAGCCTTATTGCTCAGGTAAAGTTGGAGACGTGGTCACAAATATACAATAAAACCATTTGGCAATTTTTATGCAATGCGTCTATTCAGAGTAACATATCAACCTGGCGTTTCTTTTGCTGCTTAGTATACATAAACTTGAAGCAGCATATTATACTATAATATCAACCGCACATATTGCCGTAACCAACCTCTTAACTCTGTTATCTGTCCTCTACTCAACCATAAATATGTACCAACCCCTGGCATAAAATGTCAATTCAAACCGGCAAACTCTGTTATCTGTCCTCTACTCAACCATAAATATGTACCAAACCCTGGCATAAAATGTCAATTCAAACCGGCAAATCAACAAAAATGCAAGACGAGGGGTGGAAGGGAGAAAGAGAATTGCTATATATATTCGAATCTAGAGGTAACTGAAAACGTAGAAGTAGCATAACCGCACAAACAACATATTAAAATGCAAACTTTTCATGTATTAATGTCACTATATGTACCTTGCTTAATTTTCGGGTTGGCTCAAACCTAGCTATGACAATACCAGAGTATAATTTAATTAGAATAGAACTTTGTTGAAGGGAATGGTTGCGCACCCATTCCCCCCAAACACCAGTCTATATTTTATAAACATGACATTACTAGCTTTTAATTACCATATAATTTAGTATCATTCAACGCATACTGAAATCACGTGACTTTCACACACGTCAAATTTAACACAGTGTGAAAACTATTGTTTATAATAACCAGACATAATGTCAAATTACCCATTGGTAATTACCTCGCATGAACAATTTATAGCAAAATATAATAAATGACACAAAATAACATTTAGCAAATATATACTTAACGTTTATATTACGTTTCAAAGCAAAATTAAATACATAAAATTATATACGGATAAAATCTACCGCCCAACACACTTTTCTAAAAAAGTGTCCTATTCTTATCTTAACCTCGTATTAAACTCGTATTAATGACTTTGCGAAAATCTCACAATTTAATGAGCCGTTAATTTTAGTTTTCCCGGGAAAAACTATACCTAAATCCCCAGATTTAATCAATTAAATTGATCTAATATTCAGGGTTTTTTTTACTGGTATCAAATATGTGCTTGTTACTGAAAATATTAGCACTACGTAATGCTATTTAAGGGAGGCTGAATTGATAAACTATTCATCAAAACCGAACGTGTCTATGATTTACAAATGCAGTCTGAGAAATATCCGCTGATCTATATGATATAAAGTGCTCTGTTCGCTGATATCTTAATACACAAAATTAGCACTTAACAATTGCGATTGGATTTATACACAGATTTACCAGATTCTTTTTCTGTAAATTTTACGCTTTTTTTTTTTTTTTTTTAAACAATTTCTGTTAAGTCACAGTAGCATGTTTCTGTTGAAAGCGGGTAAAATTACAGGAACAAATCTGGTAAATCTGCTGCCAGAAGATTTACTATACTTTAACATAATTATTTTGGTTAAATATAAAACAAAATCATCTGTAAACAATTATAATTTATTTTCAGTAATGTAACTTTTCAGTCACGAATTTACAAAAATATTAAAACTGAACAGAAGTTAAGAGCAAGAAGTTTTATACGGATTTAAATTTTGTGATTTCTGAAGTCTATAGCAGTCTGAGAAATATCCGCTCGTCTGTGATTTGAAGCATCGTGTTCACACACTGTGCCCAATCTGCCCATTATTATACACGATGCTTGGAAAGACTGAATTGGTATTCGTCTGAATTTGATGTTCACTCAAGCTTATACATACTCAGTATTTTCACCGCAGATAATAATATAATAATTATGTGCTTATACCAATTTCACAGCAGATAATAATATAAGAATTATGTGCTTATACCAACTATAATACTAAACACTTTATAAGATGCTTGGGGGTTTGAATATTAATTATATTCAACATGCCATCTCTTTGATTTAAATAAACTACATTATTCACAAAATCATTTCTGGCTGCCACATAAAGACACATTATGGGAGATTAGATAAAAAAAAAACTGACAGTTTTCACTATAATAGTTAAAAACTTGATAATGTAAAGGGAAAGTTCTGAAAATTTCATTCAAATTGATCCACTCTGAACCGAAAATTTAGCGATTTAATTTTCGACTAGCCTCGATCATCATTTCTAAAGTCGGTACGATAAAAAGCATAGTCTCGATGCTGAATTGATAAACAATTCATCAAAACCGAACGTGTCTATCATTTACAAATGCAGTCTGAGAAATATCCGCTGTCAATAAGAGTAACACCTGATAGGCGAAAGACCGAAGAAATTTATCGTTCAAGTTCGTTGCAACAACCTCTGTGGGAGATTTTAATTTTTTAAATTACACGTCTCTTTGTACTAATTTAAAAACCATGATCACCACACATTCAGCATGTGCCAGAATTTAATAATTATTTTTTAAAAATGGAATTCTTTTTAACCTAATCACCTAAAAAATAAACATTACACGCTGTAGGAATACGCACTATGATCAATGACGTAACGGCTAGTTCCGTCGATGTGCAATCGGCCTTAAACTCGAAAGATAAATACTCATCCGGAAACTGCCGAAGTTTGTTGCCGAGTGCCATTTTGGCCAATCAAAATAAAGAAAACTTTTAGCCCCGATCCTTCAATCATGGCGTATTTAGTCAACAAGGATACATTTTTCTGGCATTCTGACCAGAAAAATGAAGTGCCTTATTCATCAGAATGCAACACAGCCCTGCAAGTTACTGGTTTTTAACGACAACACCTGGAGGCACTGTGTGGAATATTCAAAACAGTGGCAGACTTTGGATGGAGAAGAAAAAAACATTGCAATCACGTATCGAGATGTGTTAGAAGGTATGTTTGTATTAGGCCTATATTGTATGTTTCCGACTTATCACCGGAATTCACTTCGAAAACCCCTGATTCCTCCCACAAAACTAATTTAAATTTATTTTAAATGTATAAAACATTATAATGTAACGAATTACTATTTTGATATCCCCACAGGCCAAATGAAGGCCCTGTGGTGGGTATATTTATTTGAAAGACTACCAGAATTCATTTCAAATATATGCTCCAAAATAACACTAAAAAACAATTTGCGTCGAGTTACCCAATAACTCCAAAATAACAACCAATAACTTCAAAAATATTGACTGTGGAAACACAAAATAACAATTTAGTATGAGTTTAAGAAGCGTCACTGGTTTTTGTTCAAACCGGAGGTTCACGGGAGATAACTCGTGTATGTGATTTTTGTTGACAAGAAACTTATGTATACTTTCGTTGCAATTCGTTGTAATGTATTGTAATTAGAGATTGACTAATAGTTTATTAAAAGTAATAAAACAGTAATTATATGCATGGAACGTCAGCATTTCAGTCCTAATTTTAACTTACAATATTATTTGACCAAATCCATACATCGGAATTCACTTTGGAGATATCAGAATTGGGAGCAGGTCGTTTCATCCCATGACCGGTTCACCCCGGGCTGTTTCATCCCAAATTGACCCCGGGCTGTTTCATATCGGGTCGTTTCATCCCACAAATCAATAAACAGGTTTTACGTATTTTTAATATTTTATTCATAATTTATAACAATAACAACATGTCATGGCACTTTTAGTAATACTATTTGTATCATTTCATACATAAATCACTTACTTTGATTTCATTAATTTATCTTAAATTACATTAAATTACATTAAATCATTTCATACATAAATCATACATAAATCAATTACTTTGATTTCATTAAATTATCTATTTACGGCTTTTAAATAGTTTTATAAATAAATGTATTTGTTAAATTTCATTAAATTATTTCATGAATAAATGTATTTGTTAAATTTCATTAAATTATTTCATGAATAAATGTATTTGTTAAATTATTTTATGTATTTATTGTATTCGTTAAACTAAATTCTTTAAATTATTTGTTAAACTATTTCATTAAATTTGTACATAAATTTTAGTACAAGTTACCGGCTAGTTTTAAAAAACTACTCGTTGTGATTGATCTATCATTGTATTTCCCCCAGGCTTCAAATATTTTAGTGTTTATTTTACAATATTTTTTCCTACAAATTCTAAAATTCACCCCTTCCTCAACCATTGTCCACTGCATATCTATTAATTCTCCTTCTTAATTCAAAATTGGTAGTACAACATAAAAACTGAGACCCGCTCCCATACACCTTGAATTTAGACGCCTTTGCCATCCTGAAATACATTAATCTCATATTAAAGAATGTCAACATGTAATAAGAATATTCAATTAAACTACTAATTATTATTGAATGTAAATAATATTGAATGTAAACAATATTTAATGTAAGTAATTAAATTAACTCACCTTCACAATCATTATTTGTTCGGAAAGCCATAATGAAAATGCTGATATTATTTAGAGAATAGATGGAGGACTCGAACCAGGTTTGTCGGATATACGAAACGAGTTCCCGTAAAGGGTCCGTGTTTGCCATCAGACACAACTTGTCGAAGGCGGCTAGCATGTGGTCGGCGGGTAGAAAAGGTAACTTTCATAATCCTGGGATCACAATCATGGATGTGGTTGCCACTTGGTATAAAATCTGTCCCTCGTTGCATGACTGTGGCTGTACACGGTAAACTTTTACTCTTCCTGGAACAAACCCAGGTTGTAGAAGTACGTGATGATCTCTGAAATACACAATTAACATGGTTAAAAAGAGTGACAATTGTTGTTTTGTGATCAGTAGCTAGTTGAGCAGTTAATTAAATGATATTTACTCCAATGATATTTGGTCTCTGAAATACACAATTAACATGGTTAAAAAGAGTGAGCAGTAATCCGTTAATTAAATCAATCAATTATATGAAACTCACCTTTACTGTGAAGGAAAATCCATCAGAGGTCACCAATTTCGCTTTTCCTCTCTTAGTCCCATTCTCTACTATTTCATATGTCAATTCATGATTATCTATTACTGAAGTGTTGAGTTGCTCTTCTGGTAAAGATCTGAAATATATTTCAGTCAAATAAAGTATTTACTAATATTTTACATTAATAATAAATTACTTTAAATCACCGGGATTCACTTTAAAAACATATAAACATCGGAATTTACTTTCAACTTATCAGAAATCGCACTTAAGACCTTCGTTTTTACTAATATTTTACATTAATAATAAATTACTTTAAAACACATAAAATCACCGGAATTCACATTGAAAACACATAAACACCGGAATTCACATTGAAAACATATAAACACCGGAATTCACTTTCAACATATCTGAATTCGCACTGAAGACCTTCGTATTTACTAATATTTTACATTAATAATAAATTACTTTAAATCACCGGGATTCACTTTAAAAACATATAAACATCAGAATTTACTTTCAACATATCAGAAATCACACTTAAGACCTTCGTTTTTACTAATATTTTACATTAATAATAAATTACTTTTAAACACCGAAAATCACCGGAGTTCAAATTGAAAACATATAAACACCGGAATTCACTTTCAAATATCGGAATTCGCACTTCAGACCTTCGTACTCAATCACAAATATTTTATAATAATAATAAATTACTTTAAAACACCGGAATTCACATACAAAATATCTGAATTCGCACTTTAGACCTTTGTATTTACTAATATTTTACATTTATAAAAAATTACTTTAAAACACAGGAATTCACTTTGAGAAAATCGGAATCCACCCCCAAGACAATTGTATTTACTTATATTTTGCATTTATATTAATACTAGAATGTATCTGCTGTAAAACGATATTTCCAGATGGTCAACTCGGGGAAACACAATAAAAACACAGCAGTAATCCATGTAAAATGTCAAACCGAACATTTCTTGAATGTAGATGATCTAAGTTTATTCTAAAATTAACTTAGTAATAATCTGCCAATCAAATAATTATAGTCTCATCAATAATGGTTTGGATGATTTCATAGATAATCTGTTGTAGCATGAAGCAGTCCAGATTAAATGAAGTGTAATTTTAATAATATGCCAATAGTAGGCATATAGAATGTTCACCAGTTAATTGTCATTGTAAAAGGTGACAAATCACATACAATCACACCTCCAAAAAACATAACAAACTATGATAACATGAGAATGAGAATTTATTTATTTCTAAACAAGTTACGATGTCGATGACCGAAAGTGACAATCGGCGCAATTCGCAATTATAAATAAATAAATATAGCTATAATATTAAATTGTTCATTTTGGAGTTATTGGGTAATTCGCGCAAATTGTTATTATGTGTTATTTTGGAGTTCGGCCTATTGGGTAATAGTAATACGACGCGCCCTACGTTATCATAATCATGATGCATATATTTGAAATGAATTCCGGTAGTCTTTCAAATAAATTCACCTACAGTGCCTTTATCTGGCCTGTGGAGAGATCAAAATGTATTATACAGTATACATTTAAAATAAGTGAGTTTTGTGGGAGGAATCAGGGATTTTAGAAGTGAATTCTGGTGATAGTAAATGAATTCCGGTGATTGTAAATGAATTCCGGTGATTGTAAATGAATTCCGGTGATTAGTCTACCCGTTTTTTTATTATTATTATTTTCTTAGTCTTAGTATTAAAATTTTTTCTAGGCTGTGAGTGTTCACGTTGGTTGTTGTTAAGAAATAATAAAAATACTTGTTCACAATACATGGTATCACGCAAACCAGTGGTGGGCAAACTTTCAAGTTTTAAAACAAAACTGAAGCCTAAACTGGTGAAGGGCAAAACATTTTTATGAAACATAACTAACAAATTACATTAGTCATTAATTACAATGTCAAGGGTTATGAAATATCATTTTCAATAAAGTAATATTAGAAATATGGAGTACAGCACATAATATTTAAAATTACATTCTTATTAGAATCATTTTAGTCAGGTTCCATGGAACTTTGTCAAATTTATATTCCGTCGGTGATTGGTCTAAAACAAAACCTGCCGTCTTGTGGGAGCATAGTTTGGAATAGCCTTTACAGAAAAATCAAAGACATTCAGTCTAAGCCGTGAAAAGATCTGCAAAGATTATTGATCCTACAGGCGGAAATGCTGTTTAAATAAGCAATTTTAGATTTTGATTTCATTGAGATTGCATTGCTCAAAAAAAAATTAAATGTAGGGATCTAGTGGGCCGGTTAATTGGGCTTCGGTTAATTGGGCTTCGTAGTTTTAGGCGATATATTCTAGTATAAATATCATGCAAGAATTATAGTTAAGAAATTAATATTCACCCAGGAAGTCTGAGCTAAGTTACTATATTACTGGTAATATATTGTTAATTGAGCAAAGATAATTTAATCTATCACACAATTGTATTAATGTTGTAGTCAGTCTAGTTGCAGTCTGTTCCCACTCCACATGCCACATGAGTTTTATGGCTAGTCTTTTGTCCTAAGCTGGACATGTGTTTCTTTGTTTTTATAACTTTTAATCTATCACACATGTTTTATACAATTAATTATGTATAGACTTGGTAGTCAGTCTAGTTGCAGTAGATGTGTTCCTTTGTTTTTATAACTTTTAATCTATCACACATGTTTCATACAATTAATTATGTATAGACTTGGTAGTCAGTCTAGTTGCAGTAGATGGTCTTTTATTTGTTTGTCTGGGTTTTATGGCCTGTATTTTGTCTTTTAAGCTTATAGCACACAGGTTTTTTTGTGTTTTTTTATTTTAATCTATCACGTATGTGACGTACAATTATTTAGTAGATGGTTCTTTATTGGTCTGTATCAGATAATTTTTGAAGGTTGAAATGGTTTATTTTTGTGAAAATTTTGTACAAATCTCTTCACTGGACCCGTGCAACTATTTACAGATATATTTTTCATTTTAAAGGGAAAGTCCTAGATAATCCAGGTTTTCAAAAATAAAACTATAGTTTAGTGTTAAATTGCATTCGTAAACATGCTTTTATTTTTTAAATTCACACATGTGACATACTATGTTTTTTCTATCATATTTCCTATTTTCTTTAGGAACGAAGGAAGAAGCTTCAAAGGTGTATGGATATCATTCAAGGTGCTATTCTCGATTTTGTGATAAGCAGCGTGTGGAAAGAGCTCAGAAGAGAGTTGCAAAGGAACCTGCCCCACCTGTCAAACTGCAGTCAACACCGTCACCTAAGAAGCGATTACGGTCGCATAAACCACTTTCAGCAGCTCAATCTTCTACCACTGGTGTGAAAAGAGCTCAGAAGAGAGTTGCAAAGGAACCTGCCCCACCTGTCAAACCGCACTCAACACCGTCACCTAAGAAGCGATTACGGTCGCATAAACCACTTTCAGCAGCTCAATCTTCTACCACTGGTGTTCTTCCTGCTATTTGCTTGATTTGTAAAAAAGTGGACGCATATATTAAAGTAGTTGGTAATAGAGTCAGAGACAAGTTGTCTAAAACACAAACACTAGATGCAGGTAAGCTGGCATTTTTGTTTTGTACCAAATTTATAGTTATAGTAGTTAAAGGGACAATCCCACTCTTGCTGGCTCAAAAAAAAAAAAATGCCTTATTTTAAGTTCTAAATGTGTTAGTAACCTACCTTTAGTTGAAATCATCCCATTAAAAATACTAAAAAAAAATGGTAAATATTTTAAATTTCAATTTTAAAATCTATACGGTTCGTACCCTATAGAATATTTTCATAGCAAAACTTGTAAACAAGTACACTTTATATACTATTCAAAAAAAGTAGCGGATATTTGATTTTTTAAGTGTTATTAAAGTCACCTAATGAAACTGACGAAGAAACAAATGACAAAATGAAATGAAGTTCACATTCATCGATTTATTCCAAATGATCGTTAGACTAAGTAAGGCACAGACTGACCATTATAAGGGTAAAATAATACCCGGGGTCAAACAGCAAAGTTACCACAGCATCACAACCAAGTCAGTAACGGGTAAATCCTCCTCTGTTTGCCAAACAAGCATTGATCCGACGTGGCATACTTCTAATGAGACGTCTAAGGTCATTTTGGTCCAGATTGTCCCATTCCTGTTGCAACGCAGCAGCAAGTTCTTGGACATTGGCAGGACGTTGTTGACGTTGACGTAACCTCTGTCCAAGCATGTCCCAGACATGCTCGATGGGGGAGAGGTCGGGACTCAGTGCTGGCCAAGGTAATGTGGTGATGTTCTGTTGTTGGAGGTAACCTGTAACGATCCTGGCCCTGTGACATCTTGCGTTGTCATCCTGGAAGATGAAACGGCGGCCATGACGTCGTGCGAACGGCACAACATGGACTGCCAAGATGTTGTCCCGGTAGTACTGGCCTGTAACACGCCCTGCAACAACATGTAAAGCCGTTCTTCCAGCAACAGTGATGCCTCCCCACACCATAACAGAACCACCCCCAAATCGATCATGTCTGATGACGTTAACGTCTTGGAAGCGCTCGTTTCGACGACGCCACACCCTCCTACGTCTGTCCAAAAAATCAACAGTGAACCTTGACTCATCTGAAAACATCACATTGCTCCAGCGTCGATTATCCCAGTGATGACGATCCCTACACCAACGACGTCTTGCCTGAATGTGATGATCTCTCAAACAAGGGATCACGCGAGGACGTCGGGCGCGAAGGTGACCCCTATGCAGTCGATTCCGAATCGTCTGGCCACTCACTCTCACACCAGTGTCTGTTTGAAGACGAGCGCTGATCCGATTTGCTGTGATGACACGATTTCTCAAGGCCAAGGTACGGATAAATCGATCCTGGGCTTGAGTTGTCGCCCTTGGTCGACCTGAGCGTGGTCTGTCCTGTACAGATTGTGTATCACGGTATCTGGACCATAGCCTGCTTATGACAGACTGAGAAACATTCATCGTCCGCGCCACAACCGCCTGTGTTGTGCCGATCTGTAGCATGCCAAGGGCACGTAACCTTTCATTTTGGGTAAGCCGACGCATATCAAAATTTGTTTTCTGGTCACTAAAACAATTAAACTGATGTTTCCACCCTGGAATTCAATGCCACAATGACTGTAACATTCAAAGTCAGAGTCGTGCAAATCTTGGGTTGGACCCCCATGATGATCCCAAGCATCACCTGCATTCCATGCGGTAGCTATTGGTGCGTTTGGGCGTCACATGTAACTGGAAATGTTTTTTCTGTTAGGTTCTATAGTGACTTTTTTCGTAGTCATTTGCATATTTTAGTATTATGCCCCCAAAATCAAATATCCCCTACTTTTTTTGAATAGTATATATATAGTGAATTACGTAAATGAAGTTCAGCCACCGTTACTAGGATATCCTAAAACTAGCCTTCATAGACGTAAATACACACGTTATAAACCAATCGTTTACTTTCTACTTTCACTTCATAGAATGTTTAAATCGCTTGCTAAAACTCGATTGAAGTTTTTTTTATATTTTTAGATAATAAGTTAGCCATAATTTTTCCATTTTTATACGCCCACATTGAAATGTGGTCGTATATTGTCGTCGCCCCCGTGGAAGAAGCCTATTGATTTTCAGCAATTTCCGATAATTACTGCCAGAGTTATGCCCCTTGATCACTTCAAAAAATCGTGTGGACGCTCTAGAGGCCAAAGTTAATATCCGATTGACTTTAAATTTATACACAGTGTTTAAGGTCATGAGACGAAGAAGCCTATTGATTTTCAGCGATTTCCGATAATTACTGCCAGAGTTATGGCCCTTGATCACTTCAAAAAATCTTGTGGACACTCTAGAGGCCAAAGTTAATATCCGATTGACTTTAAATTTATACACAGTGTTTAAGGTCATGAGACGAAGAAGCCTATTGATTTTCAGCAATTTCCGATTATTACTGCCAGAGTTATGCCCCTTGATCACTTCAAAAAATCGTGTGGACGCTCTAGAGGCCAAAGTTAATATCCGATTGACTTTAAATTTATACACAGTGTTGCCTGGCAACCTATCTTTTAAAATAAGGTTGATTTAGATGAAATGTATAGCACCAATAATTTAAAATATCTTATAATACTACAATTTATTAATCAAAATAAAGATTGGGACATGTTTATAAGTTACAGCAAGAGTGGGATCGTCACTTTAAACATACATTATCCAAGAGCAAAATCTGATTATTGCAAGTCTTAATTTAGGCTTCAGATGTTATAGAAATTATAAATTAGATCTTTATTTAAACAACAAGCCCAAAATCAACTCTGTAGACCCACGGATGGCTCGGCTACAGCTCGGATTTAAATAGGATTTCACTTATTGATAAATTAAAATATGGCACACCCTGATGAGAATACGTCAGTTAGATCGAGGCTAAATGATAGAGTGTACTTAGCGAGGCCGCTGTAGAGCCTTTCCGCATGCCATTGAAAACTTTACTTGATAATCGAGATATGTAGGTGGAGTTAACGCCTGTCAATCAAACGATCGGTCATGGTGAAGGCACATTTCACTACCATTTCTAGTCAAATATTACAACGATGATAACTATGTTCAGAATAAAGTAATTTGACTGAAATTTTCTATATATTCTTCTTTCATCATCTACTTTTGAGCTGTTATAGCAAGAATGGCCAACTCGCTATAAAAATCTCCCATAATGTATCTTTAAGTTAAAGATCGTCACAAACTATATCCAAGATATAATAATAAGCAAATTTGTATAAGACAGTATGAGGCATCAGTCGAACATAACCGACAGTTTATGACCGTAACAAAATCATCGGTATATGACAGTAAATGTACATAAACACAAAGTGCAGTGCAGGACCGAGATTTGAAAGCTATGTGTATGAAAAGGAGGGCTTGATAATAAATTTTTTTTTAGGAATTATTTGCAAGTAAGCAGTAATAAGATGTTCAACACAAATCAATTAATTAAATCGTAGGATTTTCCTTTGACCACCATCCACCAATGTGTTTGCTTTCTTCCCAAATATTAGCTTTTTATTTTTGTGTCTTTTTTTACACTTAGGTTTATTACGTGAAGCAGCCACAAAAAAAGAAAATGAATCTATTTTAAAACATATTCGTGGTAAAGATTGTGTTGCCATCGAAGTACGATATCATGATTCCTGCTATAAAAGATATGTTAGCTTTTTAAGTAGAAAGACTAGCAGTGTGTAAGTATTTTTTTGATTTAGTACACAACCCAACATGCCATTAATAGTATTGACACTAGCTGGCATTTATATACTTCTGTTTGTTGGTAGTATGTTCTTTCTTAGCCATTTAAACCTAACAGCAGGCCTCTGTCATTCTGTCCCCCCTGTGGACCGGGGCTAGCCTAGTGCTAGATAGTAGAATAGGTCCACCGCCTCTCCTCAGCGTTTCGTAAAAGGCGACTATTGGGGAGATTGGTCGGGTGGCTGATAGGTTATCTATCGGTCTGTCATCAATGTGGTCGAGGATTCAAGTCCCATTCTCTGTGATCTCAGTGACAAGGTGTGGGAGTAGCCTATCCGATCATGCGCAAGTACTCCCATAAGTAAATCATCTGCGGATGTGGATTGGGGCAAATTGACCTAATTTACGGTGTTGACGTACCATAAAACAACATTTATTCATTCTCTGTCATTCTGTGCAGCACTGATAATTTAATAAAGTTATGTATAGTACATTTTACCTACATTACATAATCAGCTACATCTAGCTTGATAAGTGAAATTTTGTCTTGTTGGCTTGTTTAATAATCAAATTATTCATTATACTTCTGTGACCCATATGTCTGTTATAGTAGCCAATTGTTTTTGTCTGTTGTCTCCTTCTGAACTTACTTTGTAATTTTTTCAGTAAAGAAGATGAATTACCTATTTTTCACAGAACGTTTGAAGTTTTTGCCAATGATATCATTCGAACTAAAATCATCAAGGGAAGAGAAATTATGTACATGTCAAAGCTCCTTCATATATTTCAAAATATGGTCCGAAAAATTGAAAAGCTTGATGCTTCCAGTTTCAGGTAATACAATAGTTTTTATACATCCACATTTTCATGTGGACGTTTATTGTCGTCGCCCCCGTCCGTCCGTCCACAATTGTTTGTGAACAGTCTACAGGTCACAATTTTTATCCGATTTCAATGAAACTTGAAATATAGGTTTATCACCTTAAGATCTCGGCTCCTTTCGATATTGGCATCTATTGGACCGTAACTTCATGGATTATGGCCCCTGATTGTACGCAAAAAATCACGTTTTTGGCTTTTGAACACTGTAGAGGTCACAATTTTTATCCGATTTTGTTGAAACTTGAAATGTAAGTTTATAACCCAAAGATCTCGGTTCCTTTCGATATTCGCGCATATTGGACCGTAACTTCCTGAATTATGACCCCTGATTGTACGTAAAAACGCGTTTTTTGGCTTGTGGACCCTATAGAGGTCATAATTTTTATCCGATTTAAAAAAACCTATTATTATCACCGTTAAACCCTAAGGACGATTGAGTTCGAATTTCGTGAAAATCGACCCAAAATTGACAGACAAAATGGACGCCCTTTGTTCTCAAATAGCGTAAAAATATGGTATATAAAGGTTGTGGACCCTATAGAGGTTACAATTTTTATCCGATTTTGTTGAAACTTGAAATGTAAGTTTATAACCCAAAGATCTTGGTTCCTTTCGATATTCGCGCATATCGGACTGTAAGTTACTGAATTATGGCCAATGATTGTACGAAAAATCGCGTTTTTATCTTGTGGACCCTATAGAGGTCATAATTTTTATCCGATTTAAAAAAACGTATTATTATATCACCGTTACACCCTAAGGACGACTGACAGACAAAATGGCCTTCCCTCGTTCTCAAATTGCGTAAAAATATGGTATATCAAGGTTGTGGACCCAATAGAGGTCACAATTTTTATCCGATTTTGTTGAAACTTTCGATTTTTGCGCATATTAAATTGTAATTTCCTGAATTATGGCCCTTGATTGTAGGAAAAATCACTTTCGTTTTAGCTTGTTTTCTATCACTCGAAAATGTGGGCATATTCTGCCTGGCAGCCGCTAGTTTTTCCTTGTCCTGGCCTTGTTTGATTCAAGTAGTTTTTAAAACAGGTTTAATACTTTTTATGGTAGATGATAAAGATTGGGAATGCTTATTGTTTACCCTCAAAAAAACAACTACTCGTCCTTGATTAATTGTGAGATTTTTTTAAAATGACGTCATATTTTTATTTGTAATTTACAAAGTTAGGCTTTAGTAAAATCAGTTCACCGCCGGTCCAACATGTCGTAAAAAAGTTGACTATTGGGACAGTTGGTTGATATTGGTCTCTCATCAATAGGTTCAAGTCCGTTCTCTGCAACCTCAGTGACAAGGTATGCGAGAAGCATATCTGATCACACAGCGCAAGTACCACCCAGTGTATCAACATTTGCGATAACCTGGGGGTTGGATGGCTGAATGGTTAGTATGCGCGCGCTGTATCATAAAGTCTGTCATTGAGTCGACTGGCATGGTTTTGAATCCCCGGTTGTACATGACAAGGAGTAGGGTCGCCTGTCCAACCTCGTGGGTTTTCTCCGGGTCCTCTGGTTTCCTCCCACTGCTAAAGACCCCTATGCGCAAGCGAATTATTGAAATAAAATTAAACCGTATGTTAGTCCCGAAATGACCTAGTTGTGTCGAGTGGACGTTAAACCCCATCTCTCTCTCTTGCGATAACCTGCGGGTTTGAAACAATTGCCTTGATTAGTGTGTCAACGTGCCATAAAACAACATTCATTCATCCATTATGTTTGGCACAAATTGGCCTTTACCGTGCCATAAAACAATATTCAGTCATTCATTCATCCATCCATTATCTAAATCTAATGTAATTTTGTAGGTCCTTTCAACTGAAACAGAAATTACAGAAGTATTTCCCACAGTTAATTTTTCATAGGCCTGCTAAACATGTTAAAAGCGAAATGGTATTCATTGAAGATGAATCCCATCTAGATAAAATACAGTCTTCCACAAGTGAAACTGAATCTGAAAATACAGGTACTGAAACTGAATCTGAAAATACAGGGACTGAAACTGAAACTGACAATACAGGGACTGAAACTACTCAGACTGCAACAGCTGTTAAAAATACTTCATTGGATAGTGACACTTTACACTGTTTTTATACATGTGCTATGAAATTGCGAGGTGAATTTCTAAAAACAAGTGGCTATGATGGACACTGGCCACCGTTAGGCTTAGATTTTACCGTTGAAAATGCAAAATCAATGATTCCAGTAACCTTATTTAATCTTGTCGCATGGGCGATTGGTGCATCTGATGAACCAACTCTGGAATATTATGTAGAAGTTGATGAAGCTGTGAATTTAAAACTAATCTCTATTCTTCAAGATATTGTGAGTCTTCAATCTAAAGGCAGAAAACACAAGTCATCTTTGTTAATATCATTGAACTCGCTATAACACATATTAACCGTAACAAATTCATTATGGATATTTTGTACACTTTAGTCCATGAATGATTTAGTATAATTATAAAAATCAAAATCAACATGTTTTATTAAATTTTAAAATGACTTTGTATATATGTTTTTACATACCTATTGTATGCTGATTCAAGCCTATAAATTCATATCTTATCAACAGAGCTTGTACATACTTGTTTTCCATATTCATTTTCATTAAAATCAGAACTTTTGTCAATTAAAGTCATTACAGTAATATTTAATGTTTAATTTTTGAACTACATGTATTAAAAATCTTAACTATTTCTTTATATATCAGACATGTGCAGCATACATATTTATTTTAGTCTATTATGGTACATTTTTTCTCAGTTGTTTGATGTTAATTATCAATGAATTAGTGTATGTGTAGTGTGTGTGTGTGTGAGAGTATGTAATATATATATATGTGTATATTTATGTATTTGATTTATTATTGTAATTTCATTATGTTTTGATTATAATATTTATATCTGTTTGTATTTTTTTTTTTTTTTTTTTTGAGAGTGGGGTTGCCTGCTCTATAATCCAATTATCTTTAATAAATAATGTTAAAAAAAATAATTTATTTTTAAAATTCCCATAAAGTGCTCCTTTGAGCAAGACCAAGTAGTCTATATATATTTTTTAAAATAGGGGAATGGACAAACAAGGGACATTTTATCCAGTTGTTAGAACACAACCTGTATTATACCTATGCATTAATTTCAAAAAGTCATAATTTAGCAAACACAAATAACTGTCCACAAAACATCAGTTAATTGTTATTACATTGTCAAACCTTATTAGGGGTACCTTTGGTATGGATGTGGTTGGGCTTTAGGAATTTCCGTTTTGTGAGTATATTGATATTAAAAGGTATTTCCAACCTTATATGGAGGGTGGGGGATTAAGCAGTGTATTTGGGGGGGGGGGGTGCTGGGCCTTGCATTTGATTTATGCATAGTTATATTATATGGATGCTACAGTGTCGACTTTATTAGAGATGAGGAAGGGTGGGCTTAGGGGATCTATTCTAACCAGTTGATATTAGGGTGAACTCGACAATGCAATGTATGTATGTCTACACACGCAAAGACAAATACAGTAGGAAGAGAGCCTCTAATAAAATAATATAGCTTCACACACCTTGATTGATTTTGATATTTGGCAATTATCTATATTTATATTCGATTATATATAGGCCTATATCATTGCTATCAAACAACATTTCCAACCCTTCTCAAATTATCTTAATACTCGGAGCTGTGGTGGGACGTTAAACACGATGCATGCAAAAATTAATTCCACAGTGTCGTGTACTTTCTTAAGAATAATAAATTGATTCATCACATTTACACATGTCAGGCTACAAACAGCTTAAAATGTTTGAGAGGGGACAAGCCCGTCAGGTAATACCGACAGCGGCTTCACGGGGGTAAGAGGGGTAAAGCTTGTCTGGCATCGGGGAAAACTGTCCGTCTGATGGGGTCGAGGGTCCGAAAACACGGCACATAATCGCCAAGTGGTAAGCAGCTGTCAGTTGGACACTCTACCCAAGGAGTCATCGCTGACCTAAATCTTTCACATTTATGCACTTATTATATGTTAGCCGACACCGGTAAATACCAGTATTAATAGCGCACACTTTCTTTTCATTAGAAATATGATTTACGAGTTTGGCTAAAAAAAATCGACCTAATTATATTATAGCAAAACAACGACAGTGATCTATTAAATTCTCCTTACGGTCACGTGTATTTACTGTTATTCGCTATTTACTAGATTTTCATTGGCTGAAAGCTCGCCGTCTCACTACTTTTATTATTGCGAGGACAAAAAATGCTGTCGTTTAGATTATTTATTTAAAACGTTTCTGGCACATAAATTGGAATGTGGCAGTTTTGTTTACAACACATTAGGGTTATTTCTCGAGAAATAAATATTAAAACTTTCCACAGCGGTGAGTTGCAACGACTTTTGAAAACTAAGCTAGTTAGAATTTACCAGTACGGAAGCCCATTAGGGTCAATCAAATGAAAAAGAAATTCTGACTATCTTGTAATAGGCTATCTTGTAATTAGGTTATCTTGTAATTACAAGATACGGAGAAGCCCATGAATAACTTATTTTAAGGTCGCCATACACCGATTTATCGAATAGCTAGGTCAACGCTGTACTTTATTTTATGTTACAGAATCGGCACAGTCATGTCATGCTCCCATAAATATCATTCGTTATGTTCATGCCTCCATTAAAATCATAAAGTTCATACTCCCATAACTTCATATTCCCACCAACTTCATATTAATATCAATATTAATGCTCTCCTTTAAGCCACAGAACGCTATTTATATTTTTCGGAATACTTCTTTAAATTTTGATTTTTGGCTGTTTTTATTGTTAGTTAAATAAAATCGTTATCTTGTAATTACAAGATAGTCAAAATATTTTTTTTTCATTTGATTGACCCTAATGGTCTTCCGTATCCCAGTCCTCCGCCTATATGATATAAAGTGCTCTGTTCGCTGATATCTAAATAAATAAAATTATTATTAGCACTATACAGGGGCGCCGTAACGTCCGAGGGACAGGGGTGCAAGGGATGGTCCAGGGGGTTCTCTCCCCCGGGGTTGGTGTGGGGTTTTAAAAAATTTTGTTAATCGGGTGCAGAAATGATTAAATCTGACGTCTTCTGGCAGGCTACCAGTGTTCAGTCGAACACAAGGTATTATCGATAAATCCATCTGACAGACAAGATTGAATGAACCATGACATAAATCAGTTTAGTACCTTTAATTCTGTAAATAAAGCATTCTGTTACTGTTTACATCTGTTTAACATTATTCAACCATTTGTTTATCTCGGTGAATTTCAAGAGAAAATGAACAATTAAGATTTACATGCAGCCATTTGAATTTTGATGGTTTTTTGTGGTCAAGGCCAACTGAACAACGTAATGCAACTTCAATAGTAAAGAGTTGTAATTATTAAAACAAAAGTAGAAAGAAGGGAGATAATTAATGGAAACACAGAGCGAACACACTATAATGTCTTTTAAGGCATGAAAACTGCCACCCCCCTGACGGAGTCACTTAAAGTCCGATAAAGTCTTTAGGTATTCTGTGCATCTTCAGCTTGACTCTGGGTATCTTCCTCGAGCAAACAGATCCTTGCTGTAGGGCGGACAAAGGTTCCCCTTGGAGTCTTTACTTTGGCTGATCCTCTTGGCAAAGCATCATCAATGAGAAGTACAAGGTCATTCACTTTAAGCGGAGGATTGTCGACTTTCCATTTGTTCCGTAAACTTAGGCTAGGTAAATATTCTTTGCGGAATCGATTTACGACATGATTGGCAATTAATTGAACCCGTCTCCAGCGTCGTCTGCTGTTGACTTCCTTGTCTTCTACGTGACTTGGTGAAGTGCTGTAATCCGCTCTGCCTATCAAGAAGTAATTAGGAGTCAATGCGGTAAAATCGTTTCGGTCGGAACTGTTGTAGGTGAGAGGTCTACTGTTTAAAGCTGCTTCCACTTCGATCAGGACGGTTCGAAGGACAACATCAGGAACCGGATTGGTGCCTATTACTGTATAAAGAGCAGCCTTAGTGGAGCGGACTAACCTCTCCCAGGCACCACCAAAGTGCGGGCTGAGAGGGGGGTTGAAGTGCCACTCAATTCCTTGAGGAGCTAGGTACTCTCCAATGCGTTGATTAAGATCTTGCAAGGCTTCCTTTAACTCGTTGTTGGCGCCTACAAAGTTTGTCTCATTATCGCTGTATATGTGCTTCGGGTGACCTCGTCTGCCTATGAAGTTACGAAAGACGAGGATGAAGTCGTCGGTCTCCAATGATTCTGCCAATTCAAGATGTATGGCCCTTGTACACATGCAGGTGAACAAACAACCCCATCGCTTTACTGTTCTACGACCAACTGTTGAATACATGGGGCCAAAGTAGTCAACCCCTGCCTTGGAAGGTCTGCCATTCTTGGTACCTTTGGTGAGGCTCGCCGTTTCTTACAGAGGAAACACTGACGAATGATCTTCTTAGCCGTTTGTCTGACTGAAATGGGCCAAAAACGTTCTCTAATCTGTGCAACCATATGCTCCACACCGCCATGAAAGGTCTTCAGATGAGCATCTAAAAGGAGCAAATCAGTGATGACGTGTGATTTAGGTAAGATAATCTGATTCCAAGTATCACGTGGAACGTTACCCTTTCGTAGTCTTCCTTGAAGACGGAGGTGGTGCTCATCATAGCTAGGTGTCAGAGGAAGAAGAGTGCTACCAGCAGGCAAGTCTTTGTGTTTGTTGAGACAGCCAATTTCTGCTGGGAAACCATCCTCTTGAGCTTGTTTCGTCCAATGAAGTAAGGCACTTTCGTATTCCTCTGGCAGAAGATGTGATGAGGTTAAAGAGGTAAGTTGTAGTCTCTTTACAGGAACCAAGAAGTTTCTAAGTGCACGGAGAAGCCATGCTGTATGGCGTAGGAGCCGTTGCCATGTGGAAAATCTCTCCGGTGACATGAGATATCTGATCTTGAGTGAAGATAGAGGGAACTCCTGGTTGGTTCCACTGTTTGTCTTTACAAAGCAGGATATTTTGATTTCAGGATCTGTACCATCAACATCTTGATTGTTCGCTGGTTGAACAGGCCATGATTCTTTGTCACTATATAGAAATGAAGGACCCGTAAACCAACTGTGTTTAACCGTTAACTTAGAAGCTGGTAACCCTCTAGAACAGTAGTCAGCGGGATTTTGGTCTGATGAGACATGGTACCATTGACTTGAGTTGGTACTGTCTAGAATCTCAGCAATTCTGTTAGACACAAATGGTTTAAATCTTCTGGTCTGATTATTTATGTATTGAATGACTGTCATTGAATCTGTCCAAAAGTAAACATGTTTCACTAGCACAGGTAATTCTTCTTTTAAGCAGTTCCATAGTCTAACTGCTAATACAGTTGCTTGGAGCTCAAGGCAAGGTATAGAAAGTTGAGGCTTGATCAGTGCAACTCGAGTTTTGGCAGCCACAAAGGAACAAGTACCATTTCCTGTATCAGGTAAGTATTTCAGGTAAGCAACACTACCAAATCCTTTTTCAGAAGCATCGGCAAATAAATGGACTTCGATATCGGTAGCTGCTTTAGTAAAACCAATGTGGTGACGTGGTAATTGAAATCTCTTAAGTTCATCCAGTTCCTTAAGCCATGCATTCCATTTTACTTCAAGATCTGTTTTAAGTTTGTCATCCCATTGAATTCCTGTTCGCCAAACCTCCTGGATGAGACATTTAGCTCTGAAAGTAAATGGGGCAAGGAAGCCACATGGGTCGAATATTGAACTCACAATGCTGATTACTCCTCTCTTGGTGGCAGGCATGAGCTTGACATGAGGATCAAATATGAAGACATCATCCTGTACATTCCACTTTAGACCAAGTGTTCGTTGGACTGGAATATCATCTAAGTCGAGGTTTAGACATTTGACAGCACGCTAAGATTCAATAATGGAATCAAGGACTTCATACGAGTTTGACATCCATTTGTGAAGTCGGAAGCCACCGTTACCGAGTAGCTTGGTTAAGCCTTTATAGAGTTGAACTGCTTCTGGTGGAGTTTCAACAGACTTTAATAAGTCATCGACATAGAAGTCTTTAAGAGTTGTTTCGATGACGAGTGAATTAAACTGGTTACAGTTGTACTTAGCTGTACGTTTAATTGCATAATTGGCACAGGATGGTGAATCGACAGCACCAAATATGTGAACTTTCATTTTATAAACATCTGGAGGTCCAGGTTGCAAGATATCTTCTTTCCATAAGAACCGAAGGGCGTCAGTATCTCTGACAGGTACTCGAACTTGGTGGAACATACCTTCCACATCAGCAACAATTGCAACTTTATAGAGTCTGAAGCGGATAAGAATGCCAAATAGATTGTTCAACAAGTCAGGACCAGTCATGAGATTGGAATTCAGTGAAGTGCCTCGGTAAGTAGCAGCAGCATCAAACACAGTCCTCACTTTTCCTGATTTGTTTGGGTTTGTCACACCATGATGCGGTATGTACCAAGTGAGAGGTGTAGTCACACAGGCTTCGTCACTCGTGAGTCGCTGAGCATAGCCATTCTTGATGTAGCTATTCAGGGTTTCACTGTACATATCTCGAAAATGGTTATCCCTGGTAAGTCTTCGTTCTAAAAGTTGAAATCTCCTAGCAGCTGCTTGGTAGTTATTTGGAAGCACGGTTTCAGGATTGCGCCATAGCATGCCCACTTCATAGTGACCATTTATAAGACATGTTGACTGTTCTAGGATATGCATAGATTTTCTATCCTCCATGGAGAGAGATGTTTCAAACTTATGTGCCACACCAAATGATTCAGTTTTCCAAAACTGTTCTACGAGTGTTTCTAATGAAGACGTGTCTTGCTTGCATAGTAAGTTGATTGAAACCTTCACATTTGTTTGATCCGGCTTGGCCACCCCCATGATAGACCAACCTAAGATTGTCTTGATACCAATAGGCTGATGCTTGTCACCAACTAATGTGTCTGTTTGTATGTGTGCTTCAGGAACGTTGGCCCCTATCAGGATTTGAATATCTGATGAAGTGACATTCGATAAACCAAGGTCTGAGAGATGCTGCCATTCAGGCAGGAGTACTTGAGGTGGGCAATGAAAGGTACCAGTGGGAACAATCCAGGCCTCAGGAATGTTAATGATCTCTGCATTAGAATCAGTGGCAGACTGCACTGAGAATGATACCAGACTACTGTTGTGGGTAGTTTTTCCGCTGATAGTCTGAATCGTGAGAAGCTTTGGTCTTCCAGTAATACCAAGTCTTTGAGCTAATGGTTTCTCTACAAGAGTAATCTCACTTGCTGTATCTTGCAGGGCAAATGTTTCAATAGTACTACAATTTTTACCAAGAATACAGACTTTGACAATCTGGAAACACACTTGAGGTGTCGTTGATATATTGAGCTTGTGTACCAGGTGAGTTTGGTCCGGATCAACAGGATGTAAGGATGTTTGATGTTTTCCTTGACAGCTAGGTTCTCGACACAGAACTGTTGAAGAACAGGCTTCTGTTTTATGATTTGAACGTAAACAATTATGACAAAGTTGATTGTCAATGACGACCTTTTGTCTTTCTTGAAAAGACTTGTAATAAATAGGACATTTGTAGATGCTATGGTTTTCCTTGCACACAAGACATGGTTTTTGGAATACAAGTTGGTTAGGATTTTCTTTATGCGTAGGAGCAGGTGACGATTTACTTTGCTGTTCATGTTTATACTCCTGGTTATACCCTCTAGTATTTAGAGATTTATGCTTGAAAAGTAAGTAACTACGTGGACCAGAGAATTTCTGTTTGTTGAATTTATCTATACTACTAGCATCTGTCCGATGAGTAGAAACCGCATATGGATTTAGATCTGTATCAAGCCGTTCCCTCAGCCATGTTTTCAAGTCAAGTAGGTTGGGCTCACATGTTCTTAGAATTTGCTTGCTAAATTCATTCCAGCTCTGAACTTTATCTGAAGGAAGACGTTTGAGTGCCTTGATGAGGGTATCACTGCTATACAAGTCAGAAAGGTAATTCATTTGCTGGAGTGCCGCAATACAGTCTCTGACAGCAATGTAGAAATGACGTAGTGCAGTTGGATCTCTGTTTGTGACAGCTTGGCCAGAGGTGACTGTTTCCACTAATGCTCTAGCAACCTTGATGGGATGACCAAAGGTCGATTTAAGCTCTTGTAATACCAAACAATAGTTTTTTCCGGAGTATCCTAGGCCTTGGACCAGGGCCTTTGCAGCGCCTTCTAGATGGGACAACAGAATGTCTAGCCGCCTTGTGTCTGAAATAGTTTAAGGTCCACCGAACTAGATCGAACAGGCACTTTTCCTGGAATGTTGACTGTTGACACTGCCATTGTTTCCAGCCTTGACACCTTTAGGTTGACTTACATTCTGTGGCGAGAGAGAATGGTATGGACCTTTAAGTGAAGGTGGTCCCGAATGGGCTCTTCGAGTCTTTAATTCAAGAGTTTGAGTAGTGCGGTTCTTGTTAGTAGCCGGTAAGGACATAATGATTGACAAAAAATCGAATTCGAGCTTTTCTGAATCTTCATTGGCTGTTAAATATTATTATTTTCTCTGTTGAATGTTCGAGATAAACCACATGTTCAGTCGAACACAAGGTATTATCGATAAATCCATCTGACAGACAAGATTGAATGAACCATGACATAAATCAGTTTCGTACCTTTAATTCTGTAAATAAAGCATTCTGTTACTGTTTACATCTGTTTAACATTATTCAACCATTTGTTTATCTCGGTGAATTTCAAGAGAAAATGAACAATTAAGATTTACATGCAGCCATTTGAATTTTGATGGTTTTTTGTGGTCAAGGTTAACTGAACAACGTAATGCAACTTCAATAGTAAAGAGTTGTAATTATTAAAACAAAAGTAGAAAGAAGGGAGATAATTAATGGAAACACGGAGCGAACACACAAGAATGTCTTTTAAGGCATGAACAACCAGTTAAAACGTATCAGATCAAAATGCAACTCAGATTACTAGAATCAATATCCGATTCGGTTCATTTCGACGTAGCATATCGAACAAAAATCTCGAATCCTGTTTTTATACAATTTCGTGGGATATATTAAAAATATAGTTCAAAATTTCGTTTTACTTGTCTTACTACACTGGGATCTGGAAGAGTTGTTATGTGACAAGCGTTCTACTTGATGTGGGGAATTACCAAATGAAAAGGTCTTTTAAGGCGAGTTCTTAGCCTTTTTATGCACGGAACTGTGGGTAAACCACTAGCAACGTCAACACCGATTGATTAATTAATGTCTGACGTCATATGGTCAAAAGCCGCTCGTTTGCCCCCTGACGTGAACTCCTACTATATCGCTTGTCAGATCTTCATGTAGTGTAGAACAACGAAAGTGAACTCCTACTATATCGCTTGTCAGATCTTCATGTAGTGTAGACCAACGAAAGTAAAAAAAATGAAACGAAATATAGATCTGTATTTTAATCAGATTGGTCAGACAGTCTCATTGCTGGTTTACGAAAAATATTTTAAAGGACAATCAGCAAAAAAGTAAGGACAGCGGGGCTTTTGGGGACGGGGGGGGGGGGGGCATTTGCAAACATAGCCCCGCCGTTCCGACGCCCCTGGCACTATATTCACGTCAATATGGATTTTTGATTTGTTTGTAAAAATGATGAATTTGGTGTATATTTTAAATCCAGTTTAATATTACTGTACAACAATATTAACACAAAAAAAAACGTTGCTTTACAACATTCAATGCGTATCAGGTATCAAAGCGTATCAATGCGTATTATGCTGGGGAAGAAAGACTTCAGAAAAAAAAACCTCGACAGAAAAACCTCGGCCTGCCGTCCTCGGTTTTTCTTTTTCTCGGGTTATTTTTTTCAGTTTTTCTTTCCCCAGCATAACCTCAAGACTCGTGCTTTATCCTACACATAATGGACGTGTAAGGAAAGAAGGGTCGGAGGTCTTCTTAAGCAGTCTTTTTGATGATATCTGAGGTTGGTCGACTTATGAACGAAAGTTGATTGTTGTACGGAAAAGTCGAATTAAACTCGAAATTTTGATGTTTTGTCGGACTCTACACGGTCACACGAAAGGGGTCCCGCAACTTTAGTATCAAGGTTCAGAGTATCGGGGTCTATTGTATATGCGTCGAAATGAAAAAGTCCGTGATTCGAGAATCTAAAATCCGTGCTTTGAAAAGGTGGTATCATGGTATGTAATGTATCCTTGTGAATCTGAAAAGTTTGCATGAGGAAATTTAGCAAGTGTGCCATTAACAATAATTCTGATCATCCTCACTGTGTTTGATTTCGTTTCAATTTCGTGGATTGTATGTAAATGTCTAAAAATAAAGCTGTTGATGACGCAAATAGTCAGCTGCAGGTTACTATAAAGGTTCGTCTGCTTTTGACCGATACCCAGCTATAAATACAAATGTCATTTATGTAAATTTTTATACGACCACTGTTTCATATTTTAGGCCTCAATTTTTGGCCAATTTTAGATGTTGATCAAACGATCTTGGTTGAATTCGATGTTGGTGCATCTGCTTGGATTATGGCCTTACATCCACAAAGCGTAACAAAGTTTGTAGCTTTCTATTGTGATGAATAAATTGGGAACATGGGAGCACGAATCATATCGATTATCAGCATTCCGCGACCTTCTGTTCCTCGGTGAAGCCCTCTCGAAAAACTTGTGGAGGCGATAGAGGCTGGCGTTTTAACCGTGTTTTTTTTCAAATTTGGTGTGAAGCATTGGGGTCATGAGACGATAAACCCCGTCGATATTCAGCATACGTGGCCTTCCTTCGAGTTACCAAACATTGCCAAAGACCCTGTGAACGCGATATAGACAACGGGTTCATGTTCGATGTGAGGCATTGGGACAATGAGAGGTTGAGCCCTATCGATTTTTCCTGTTGTCTGTCCATCCTGTACAAAATTTCGGCGTAACGTGTATGGCAACCGCTTGTATGGTTATAAAAGTGAAAGCGATGTGATAATTCAGGAAGTTTTTAATCCACTTCTGGTGAGCCTTTGTTTTGGTCACGACTAATTGGTCACGATTCAGAAGGTTTATTCCGACATAGTAGAGCTGATAACGGTGATGAAAAAAGCTAAATTGAGTTTATCAAGTTCTGTGAGGGAAATTTGTCGGAAACCAAGGGGGGAAATACTCATTAAAAACCTCCATCTCCGAAAACCGTGCTTCGTCAATAAAACCTTAAAATAGGCCCTGGGCACCGCTGTCCACTCATCTATCATAGTAGAAATTTTGTACGTAATTTTCGAAACAACCCGAACCTAGTTCATTACTATATCGTTTGTGCAGCATTGGGTTTTGGAGAATCCTGTTAAACTTTGGTAAAGTACACAAGGCGTAGACAGAACAAACCGAGGAGTGATTAGTGTGTAATTTGTTATCAGATGTTCCAGAAAGAATAAACTTCACTGATAAAAAAAATCCGTGATAGTTAATCAATTTATTATTATGAAATACAAATCTTTTAACCATTAGCAACAGGAACAACACGTTTTGGCCAACCCTTTCTCTGTTTTATTAACAGGGAGTATGGTCACCGTAGAATCCCTTTGAACCGATTTTATTATCATATATAAAAGTTTATTCATTACGTTATTAACACTGTCCTGGTCATTTTTAATGTCCACCTCCATGTAAGGAAGATTATGACCAATGCCATATTTTTCTCCCCGTTCCCGAGTTACCTCGCGCTCTCTATCGGTATGTATTACTCCAACTAAGATGATTTGTATATTTGATGAACTAGAATATTCCATCAGATCACCATACCTGTAAAAACAAATAAAAGGGATTGTTCTGTTCCCATATTCAATACAATATTAAAATGGAATAACCACATAACTTATATTTCTAGCTGTGAACTTGGGAGAGAGAGAAATGAGGTTTAACGTCCATTCCACACAAATGGTACAATATTTTAATAATAGATATTGAAAGGTATCTTTTAAAAATGGTTTTAACAATGGGGACTCTTTCCGGGTCCACAGAGCCGTTTGATTTAGGCTGTTTTTGTCATAAACTGACCCGGACTTATAGCTTTTACCAAAGGACAAAATATATTCCTACCAGGCTTGGACGTTTTCAAATGTTGTCAAATTGGTTACATCAAAGAGTATCAAACATCCGTGGGCGCCACGATAATATGAAGCAGTAAGACTACGGTATTTTTCTTGCCCTATAAAATTAATGCATGCATGAATTAAATAAGATAAAATAACATGAATGGGGGTTTTACGTTTTACCCTTTTGCACCTATGACGACCGTGACTCCCCATACATGAATTAAATTACAATGACTGACGCATGCAAAAACGTGCCTGGAAAATTTATTAAACTGATTAAAGTTTTGTAGATAAAGATTCAAAGATGCACTCGCAAACAATGAAAATAATTTATTCAGCACGGCTCACCTAACAAGCGCGGAGTACTGTTACTCATACATGCCATTACCTGAACTGTAATGATTACTTTTTATATGGCTTACTATAGGGCTGATGCCACCCGGAATTGTGCTATTATAATACTCCAACAGACGGCTAACAAAGATATTTAAAAAATAAAATAGTTTTAAGCCGAACAAGACCAAAATATCTGATAGTTTCTCAATTTAATTAAAATCAGGTTAGCATTTCGATTCGTTTATATTTTATACATCCTCATTCAGCGATTGACTTGTTAATCCTCGACCTTTCGTTCCAGAGTTATTCCCCCCCACCACCCCTTTTTAACAGATTTTCCAGGCCCGGCTAAAGCCCCCCACCCACACACACCAATAATTTGGCCGCAAGTACTCCTTTCTCCAGGTTATTGCACACAAGTAACTATTCTATTATCCCTTATCCATCAAATAATTCACTGCTATCAGTTATGTTTAGGATAAAGCACGAGACTGAGGTTATGCTGGAGAAAGAAAGACTGAAGAAAATAACCCGAGAAAAAGAAAAACCGAGGCCAGCAGGTCGAAGTTTTTCTGTCGAGGGTTTTTTTCTCAAGTTTTTCTTCCCCAGCATAACCGAAGTCGAGGACTTTATCTTGCGTATAAACCGTCTATGTTTATATGTACGCAAAATTAGAATATACCTTATACCCTGGAAGAATAACCCGTTACAGGTTTAAAGAAAAACTTTCAGAAGAATAACCGGAAATTCCCCTTATATATCCAAAGCCGCCACCGACTTTCAGACCGCAAGTTATTCCAGGCATAGAATGACTATTCCCCAAAGATCAAATAGATTTACAGTTATAAGATCGGTTAAAACAAGCGGTTGCCATACAAGAAACGCCCACATTTTGCAAGAAATGGATGGGGGAGAGGTAAAATCAATAGGGCTCATCCTCTCAGTCAAGATCTTTTGACCCTAACATATTTAAGTAGTTTGATCAGAATGGGACAACAATGGTAGTACTGGAGGGCCTACAAAATCCATACATATTTCAAATTTTGCGTGAAAAGCAGGGCTATAGCTCTAGAATGTAATGTCTGATGCGTACCAAAGTCAAACTCATCTAAGAAAAAAGTTAATATTTCTGGCTTATTAAGTCGCATCGATGTCATCCTTATCAGTGATTGTAGCGGCTTAGCGAAAATTCACTTCTGATCAGTGTGCTAAAGACCTATAGGATGGTAGCCCCCACCCCCTCCTGCAATCAAGAATTTCTTCCGCCGGCCCAGACTTCTATAGTCTATAGATTTGGTCATGGGAGGAAGAATCCTATCGATATTCAGCGTTCGGCAACCTTTTTCAAACTTTGTGTGCAACATTGGGGTTATTAATTCGTGTTGCATATTGACATATTTGTTTAGTCTCTTGGGTGGTTACTGACAACTGGCGTACTGGATCATCTTGATTTCATTAATAGCTTGTTCCATTCTCAAAAACAAAATCATTTCCTAAATATTCGGATGAACTTTTCCAACAAATCCTATACTGAACATAATTCAGGTTGAACATAGTTTATGGGTTGTAAATAATCTTTTTCACCTATAATTGGCTTCATCATCGTTAGGTCAGTTAACATAATCTTGTACGGCAATAAAATCAGTACAATCGATCCTAACGGACAATCAAATACAAAGTCAATAAATACACCAGCGTTCCTCCTCTTTATCGGGTAATTCATCATGTTATAAAAAAAACTTACCTCCCGTATCCCACAATTTTAATCGAATCCGTTTACCACACAGTTCGATTGTTTTTTGCTGACATTCCCGCTGATTTGAGGGAAATGTACGTGAAGGACAAAACCTCCCAGCTATATACGCGTTTAAAAAGGCTGATTTGCCGACACTTAGATCACCAATAATGAGAAGTTTGATAGAATAATCATATACATGTACATGTAAACCGTTTGCATCGCTTGGTACGGTATTCATACTTAAAGTATGCACCCATAGACTATCACATGATGCAATAAGAACCTTAATGCAAAAGTTTACGTTCAGTACTGGTGACAGATAAAGCGACTTTAATAGCTTTTTTTGACATACTTCCTTTTTGATCAAGCGTTAAAAAGACATGGTTAGTTTGGCTATTGTTGCGGTTGGGTTTTTGTACTCTTTATTTATATTTTGAAACATATTTGATTTTACTTATTGACAGACGTGTTGTGTTTAGTGACACAGATAATGGCAAATGAATATAATTATTGAAAATTTCAGTCAAACATGCATTATGTAAGAGCTAAACTGCAGGTCTTTATTTTGACTTCAAATTGTTAATTAGACATTTATTCACATGACAAGCCCATAATCAACTTTCCAGATCATCGGATGACCGCGATTTTTAACGGATTAAAACCCAAACTGCAATTTTATAATTTAATCTGAAAATGGATAATTAATCAAGACTGTGTTTAATTTCGCAGCAATGGTACTTGACAATCGAGACTATATCGCCAAGTCTTCAAAGGCTCACAACTTCGCCCAGAATAAAATAATTTTGCTTACATTTTTATTAATTTTTCATTATATATTTTGAACTAGTATAGCAAGAAAGGGCATCTCTTTATCTAAATCCCACATACTGCATCTTATTACTTTATTATGAGCGAAATTATGAATGTTTGTAGTTTTGACATGTTTTCATAACAGTAAAGTAATTTTGCGAAAGAGTTTTATTGTGACCGGACGAAACGGCGGTTTGGCGGGGGGTTTTTGGTTGGGTTTTTTTTCATTGCCTTGCAGCCTGTCAAATTAATTCAAGCTCTGTATCAATATCAAATGTCACTGTTAAAAATCTACAAATAAATAATGCGGTATACGTCGGTCATTTTATAGACAATTCAGTGGGGCGTGTTATTTCAACCTCTTTTAAAATTGATCGCCAGGTTTATAACCGTGATATTTGTTTTGTTGCCGATTTGTAGCAACCATTTATTTGAAATATTTAACAACAATGCCAAAAACTTAAAATACGGTTTTGAATATCAAAGGCAAGTTTGTGTAACATTTGACATAGCCTATATAGGCTATGATAAATGGAGTTTAAGAACCTTAAACCCAGTTTTAATTTGGATGAGTTCCCATAGCCAGCAGGCCTTTGTTGTAATTTCGCATTTTTACTTATTGTTGCCTTTTTTAGAGACAATGACACCTATACGGAAATAACATGACCTGGTATATTTCTGCATTCATTACTTTATAGACTGTGTTAATTCATGTGTGTCAAACAAGTCTTTAAGTATACAAAAAGACCATCAGAAATTAACTTTGGGATAAGAGCTTTGATCTCCTTTATACACTGGAATTTGAACTGCCCAGGTTTTTGCACCTGTAACTCATCTCGTTGCTGTTCTTGTTGTTTCTTCTTGATCTTGGGGATGACGCGCTTAAAAAAAGAGAAATGAACATGAAATGGGGTTTAAGGTCCTAGTTCTGTATGACGGACTTCGATTTTTGACATGACGTCACAATTCCAAGACGGCTGTGATGACGTCATGAGTGGGTCACGGTCCACATTGCGGAGAACGCTAGATAGGCGACCGCCCTGCACATTTTAGCAATGACGTCATATGTGGATTGTGGGTTAGGGTTAGGGTAAGAGTTAGGACGAAACGAGATGTAAACAGGGCTAGCACTAACCCTAACCCTGGACCAAGTCTAACGGTACCCTTACCCTAACCCACAATCCACATGACATCATATGTGCAGAACCGTCCCCGATCTTGCGTTCTCCACATATTGCTTGATACTACATACTTGTAATTTTTCGTTGTGTACACGTTATTCCGGTTTTCCGATCTACACAACCCTTCTTTGCCAGCCCCCCTCCCCCTCTCACCCTGCACCCGATGTCGTCAGTATAAACAACTTCGTCTTACCTACTTAATCAAAAGCGATCGCGTTCAGATTTGAGCTCATTAATGAAGATAGTCCAGTAAGTTCAGTTGTCTGTTGAAATTACGCGTTTTGTTGAATGGGGCCTGGGTGATGATCAAACTTGATCTTAAGGACGCGCAGATATCCTCCATATGATTTTCCCACCGCTATAGATTGGACAAATTATGAGCCGCGAAAAGCAGAAGGATAACCAAAATGGGCCATGGTCGAATATTCTAAAATGTACATTGCCTAGTATACGCCCTCATTGAAATGTGATTGTATATAGTAGTCACCTCACACCTGTTGGCCAGTCCGTCCCAAATTGCCAGTGGGCGTTCTAGAGGCTTAAGTTAATAACCGCTTGATGTAAAATTTATACACACGTTCAGGTCATGAGCGGAAGAAGTCAATTTTTAACAAAATTCTGATTTTACTCTACCAGAGTTATGACCCTTGATCACAGATACGAAACTAAAAGCAACTAAAGCGGTACAGTCTGTACAAATGAACACCCTTGTTTATCCCGCCGACATTGTTGTACATGTATGTCGCTGATTAAAATGATAGTCCACCAAATTAAATCAACATGACGTTTGTGTGCCTATCATGTGTTTGAAATAGGTTGATTTAACGTCTCGTGATAGCCTACTAAAGGCGGGACTTGTGATAAATTAGAGTCTATTTTAAGATTAAATGGCATGTTCTTGACAAGAATTACATAATGACTATTTTGATTAATGTTATAAATGTAACCATAAAAAGTGGTCATATATCACGAAATCGCGGAAGCAAGTAGCTGACTACCTGTCTGTTTGGTGTCGGTGGAAGAGGGGTGCAAATATTTTGACCTTTTCCCAAAGACCATGTTTATTTGGTCCCGCTTAAGTTCCACAACTGTTTATCTGTAATTTATTTTAAATCTCCATGCGTGTTCCATTTCTTTCTTTACATGCAACAATATATCTACTTTAAATTCGGTCGGATTTGCGGCAATACACATACTAATAAACAATAATGATAAACAAACAACAACACAAATATTTATTAAATGATAAGAATGTCGATTGTTTATAGTACATAATGTGTATAAATATGTAAAATATCACAAATCTTTCTTCTATTTAAATGCATTAACACTTAATATGAGATATGAAGTTCAAGCCTATGAAAATAACTTCTTGTGTTGGGAGTGACCAGGGAATTAGTGCTGTGTTATTAGCAGGCAATAACACAATTTAGACACCTCTAAGAAAGGAAACCAAATTATCTTGCACATTGCTGATTTTACTTTGAGAAATGAAAACAGAATTTGTTTTTAAAGCTATTAATCTGCTTATATATTATTTGTTTTTGGCTAACAAGGTGCTTTATGTAGGGACAAAAAAAGAAACAAGCCAACAGTGAGGCTGATGTCCCCCGCCGAAATCCCAAAATAAATAGATGACACATATTCACTAATCGCATATTTATTTTTTTCAAAAGTATCATGCAATCAAACAAATTATCACCTATACACTAAGTTTCATCACTCTCTATCAGATAGAATCAAAGTTATTTTGTCCCAAAGCATCGACCAATGAAATTGCTTAGCGCTGGTTAGCTTTAGCTCGAAATGTTAATCATTGAACTCAGTCAAGACATTCACCTAATGAACATCTACATCAAGTTTAAACATTCTACCTCAATTAAAAGCAGAGTTGTTATGTTCAAAAGTCTTGACCAATCAAATTGCTTATTGATCCTTAGCCTAAGCAGAAAATTCACATCAACAAACTTAGTCAAGGTAATGATATAATGAATCTATACTCAGAGTTTCATCACTCCCACTTAATCAAAACCAAAGTTATCGTACCCCAAAGCATCAACCAATCAGATTGCTTATCTCTGCTGACCGTAAGAGGACAATGTTTATCATCGAACTCAATCAAGGCATTCACCTAATAAACACCTACGCCAAATGTGAACATTATAGCTCAATTAGAATGAGAGTTATTGTGTTCCAAGGTCTCAACCAATCAAATTGCTTATCGCTCTGCTTACCCTGAGCAGAAAATGCTCATTATCGAACTTAGTCAAAGTATTGTTTTAATAAAACTATAAACACAAATTTCATCACTCTCACTTAATTACAACTAAAGTTATCGTGTCCCAAAGCATCAACCAATCAAATTGCTCATCTGTGCTTACCCTACGAAGAAAATGCTAATCTTCAAACACCATCAAGACATTGACCTAATAAACACCTACACCATGGTTTGAACATTCTAGCTCAATTAGAAAGAGAGTTATTGTGTCCCAAAAAGTGTGACAGACAGACAGGCAGACGGACGAACCCATTTTAATAGTCCCTTGTTTTCTTCGAACGTCGGGGGCGAAAAAATAAACAACATAGATAGTCCCGCTGCACCTATTTGGGGGAATGGGAAGTTTACCATGGCAATAAAAATATCAACTTTATACAGCCAAAGAAGAACATAAGCAAAACTTGTTAAATGAAAGAATTTCACAATAAAGTCGTTTTATTTCGCTCATACAACTTCTTACGCTTTCGACTTCCAACGTTTATTTCAAACCTTGCTTAAATGTTTAATGTAAAAGCTTGTTTCCAGAATTTATCTAAATTTAACTTAAAGGTCAACACATATAAACGGATTTCACATAATTAATTCCTGAAAAATAAAATGCCAAGCCATTTCTCTACAGCGATAGCGGATATTTTTCTTCTGGCTTATCCTGTACTGTAAATTGTTAATCCACTTACAAGAAAGACTAGAGTAAAAATTTCAATTGTGACAGTGAAGTAGTCATGCCATACACATTGACATTCTACTTTCTTGAAGGCTAAGAAATTCAAGGGGTTTAGTGAACAAGACCTTAAACCCAACAGAACCTATTCTGCATGTGTTTTAATCCAGTAACTGGATCCTATAGTAAGCCCGGGAATATATTCATTAGAGGGACTAAGTGTCTTTCTAGGGGGTACTTTCTAACATTTATAGTCTAGCATCAAGTGTGCAATTTAGATTTCTACCATTTCTGGCGAGGCTGGATGTATTATTTCAAGTACACTGCACCAATTATGCGTTTATCTAGTAACTAAAACCTTTTAACGTTCATAGTTTAACATCAATGCGCTATTGAAATTTCTAACATTTCTGGGGATGTTCGATGTTGTTATTTCAAGTACGCTGCACCAATTATGGGTTTATCTAAAACCCATTAACATTCATAGTCTAGCATTGAAGTTGGTGATGAAAAAGACAAGTACAGTTCTAACACTCAGAAGTCATGTTCTTTTCGTTGTTTCAACATATACACTGAAATTTGTGTTTATCCTGTATCGCAGCTGCTGATGGACGCCTTAGTTCCACCGCAATTGATTCTCGTATTCGGTATTTGTTAATCATAATGTCAACAAGTTGTTCGAACACTTCAATGATATTTGAAACGTTATCCAAGTCAATTTGAACACATGGCACTTCGAGATAATCGGACATTTTACGTACTCTTGCTTCTGGCACTTGTGCATCATCTGATGTTTGTCTTCGAGTTCCTGCCAATAAGGTTGTGAGGATGTTCTTGCACGTATTATTCTCCAGTGTTTCAGACCTGTAAGGATAGATAAATTAAATGCGTGTTTTTCCAGTATACAATTGTATGCATTGTAAAAGTTTAATATGGCGCGGAGATGTGCGTTGTTTCAGTAATATACTCTCGGAATGTTTTTTGATAATGATGTTTGATTTATATTTTGTAATGTAATTATTCTTACCAGTTTGGAACATTCTCAAAAGAAGTGGTGTTGTTTACATTATACATTATTAAACAGCCGTCTGCTCCACGAAAGTAAGATGTAGTCAAACTTCTGTATCTTTCTTGACCTGAAAAACAGTAAAAGGAAATTTAGTTCACTGAATCGCTTCTAGAATGAAATCCCCGATGTTTATCTTTGTATCGTCCTACGATTCACAACAACGCTATTGCAACAACTCTAAATAATTAACACCAACATTCTATAGCCTACACAATTTGGTTGAAATCTGCCACAAGTTTTTCTTTTGGGAAAGCTGATATAGGCCTGCAGCCAAAATTTCTAGCGTGAAGTTCCGCTACAAGGTCCTCCGTACTAAACAAACTATTCATTTTTGGAAAGCTTATAACACCAAGACCACAAATCCTGAGACCTCCAAGCAAAGTATTTGCAATAACTAGATTTAGGGCCAGATGAAAATTGTGATAATTGTCAGGTAAATGCTATATTCATGCTAACAATTGTGAAGTTGACATAAAATTAAATATTGGCGAAAACACCCAATGCCTTCATCCTATGCAAAGAATATGCTATTGGTTAAAATGAATTTAATTTAAAGCAAAATGCAGAAAACATTGTACGTGTACAGCTAGTATTCCTGCTTACCATGCAAGTGTCATCAGTGTGCAAGGGAGCCGCGGTGTCTCAGTAAGGGGTTGGCTCACTTACCGGACGGTCCAGGGTTGGATCCTGCTCCGACGTGGATCACTAATCAGGACGTCCGGGGTTAGATCGCCGTGTTGACCTAGACAGTTCCCCAAACTTTCCAGCATTGTTTCTCCTTGTCAGTGGTACAGGAAGGGATATAAAACTAAGGTCCCGTGCACGTAAAAGAATTCGAAATTCGAAATAAATAAAGAGTGAACTATAACGTCGCTGTTTGGACCAAATTCCCTCTATAGCAGAATGTACATTTTCATTATCCCGATAATAAATGCCGATCTACCCTTGGTGTCATTTTTGATCTTCTGCAATGAAAATAAAGTTGTTTTGCCGGGAAAATAGAAGGAGGATAAAGACGTCTAATACATTGGTCCGATCTCATCAAAATAATATTTTTGTTTCGGGATATACTTGTTATTTGGGACATTGTTGATAAGACACAAACACATTGTTGCTGGCAAATTTACTTTTGCGAGATTAATACATGTAATTCAAAATCCAAACCAAACTGTTAACGATGGCCATGGGAATTTTTAAAATGATATGGGTTTATATTTCTTAGGCGTCCGTTATTACATGCAATTACGAGGGGTGATTGATAAGTAGTGAGTCTAACACAGAAAGAAACAAGAAATTCAAATCAAATGCATTTTTTTTTCAACATAGTCCCCCTTCAATGTAATACACTTCTGCTATTGGTGTTGCAGAGCCTTTATTCCAGTTCTGTACAAATCTTTGTCTTGGGTGTGTAGAAAATCATCCACAGCGGCAATGACGTCATCGTCAGACGGGAAATGCCTACCGGAAAGACATTTCTTCAGAGCAGGAAACAGACAGTTTCTGAAGTCTGAGGGAGCTAAATCATTCGAGTAGGGTGGATGATGAAGAAGTTGAAAACGACAGTCATGGATTGCTGACATGGCAACAGCTGATTTGTGCACTGGCGCATTGTCCTGGTGGAAAATCACACCTTTGGTCAGCTTTCCTATTCTTTTGGTCTTAATTACTTGCCTCAACTGCCTTATAAGTGCTGCATAGTATCTACTGTTAATTGTTTGACCCTTTTGGAGGTAATCCACCATGAGAACACCCTCAGAATCCCAGAATACTGAGGCCATAACCTTTCCTGCCGATAAAACAGTCTTTGCCTTCTTTGGGGTCGGCGACGTCACATGTTTCCACTGTTTTGACTGCTCTTTTGTTTCTGGCTGAAAGTGGTGGACCCAAGTTTCATCCATAGTAACAATTTGTTTTAGGAAGCGGTCAGGATCGGTTTCAAATAAGGCTAGATTCTCTTCTGACATGATGTGCCTTGAACGCTTTTGATCAGGCGTCAAAAGCTTTGGCACCCATCGTGCTGAAACCTTTGTCATTTCCAAAGTTTCAGTGATAATAGAATGAATTCTCTCCTGGCTAATACCAACTTCCCCAGCTATGAATCGTTCAGTAACTCGCCGGTCATTCATTATCAGATCATGGATTTTTTGTACCATTTCTGGTGTTGACACAGTTTTTGGTCGACCAGGGCGTGGTTTGTCTTCAATGCTGTCTCGGCCACGCTTAAATTCAGCTGACCACCTTTTAATTGTGGCATATGAAGGAGTATCATCTCCTAATGTCTCAACCATATCATCATGTATGGCTTTCGGTGTTTAATCACAGCTCTCGCCCCGATATGGTCCATTTTCTGATAACAACAGACCCTACTTGATTGTTATGACCTGTCACAACCAAACAGTTTATCCGAATGTGATGAAAGTTTGTGACAGAGCCCGAGGAACATAATAGTGCACGTGCAAAACGTGGTATCTTTGTGTTGCACGGTTTTCCAATCGAGGCTCACTACTTATCAATCACCCCTCGTACAGCTAACTAGGGCTGTGGTCGGGACCTGGATTACAGGACCGACTTGACCTGGACCTATGCTCTTGGTCAATTTGTATGGAATCCATTATGGTACATGTATTTTATCACTTTTATAATATGTGATTTAGCAGTTTTTGTCATTGTACAAAATACATTATTAACAAAGGGATAATATGATATTTTCCTCCTCAGTTTAATATAATAGGAATTTATCATCCAATAATACATTCTACAGTAGATATCGCTTGTGCGATAAATTTCATAATCTACTGAATTTGATTGGTCAGTTAAAAAGGGACTAGTTTGTTTGTTTTTTTAAAAGAACAGTTCATTTTTTTTTTATTAAAATTAACTTCTTTTTTTTTTTTATTAAAAATGAAATATTTTTATTTAATTGACCTTGATGGAAACACTGGGTCAATATAGTCAAAATTGATGTATCACTACGCCGTAATGTAATCAGGTTCAGTAAAAGTGAAATCTATAGCAAAGAATTATATTTATTTATTTGTGCATGTAAGAAAGGATTTGGTGATAAATAAAATCTGCAACTCGTCTTCTTTGATATCAAAAAAAATATCAACACTCGTCGATAAAGTAAAACAAAACTCGACAGAGCCTCGTTTTTTTGTTGTTTTCTTTTTACTTTATCGACTTGTGTTGATATTTTTTGATATAAAAAAAGACGAGCAGGAGATCCTCTATTTATACGTTAATCACAATATATTGAACATTGTGTTAGGTTCACATGCCTATCTATATTTATAAAGTCTAAAATAGTACTAAATAATAAATCAACCATCAAACATATTATTAGGTCATATAGGTGCATACTAATATATCTTATGCAGACGGCACATGCTGTTAATGTTGGGCTCAAAAAAGGTGTACAGTAGGCTATAAGAATGCCCTTTCTTGGCTCATGACCCCAATTGCTAGAATGAATAGAATGTTAAGGTCAAATGTTTGAATATGGTACAGTTTTGTTAAATACAAGCACAATGACAATAGATTGTGAAATAGACATGAATTGATTTTTGGGCCAGAAACCACCAGAAGCTGGTCCCCATCTTGTTGTTCGTCTGCCAGACGAAGCTCTTTGAATATACCCGAAAGCCGATTTATACTCCCCTAAGAGAAGCTTTATTTCTGAAGCTAAGCTAGGCTAAGCGAAGCGAAGCGATGCTAAGCTAGGCGAAGCGAAAAAATTCAAAAGCTGCCGATCGTAGTGAGCAAAGCTAAGCGAAGCTGTCCCTTGAGGTGTTAGATGGGTCACATCGCATCAGCAGACCTCTTGTTGTCGATTGGCAGAAAATTGATCTGCGAAGACGCCGCAATGCTAAAACATTGCAGCAAAGTTGGACTTTAAAGAAAGTTTCCCGCTTCGCGGCTTCGCTTAGCGCAGTATAAATTGGCCTTCTCCGTCAATTCAAATACGATCGACACGAATGCTTGTTCATTGGACAATTGCCCACCGATTGACGGCTAAACTTCGATATGACGTTATATTACCAAGCTGGAGGCGATGACGTCATGTTCAGTTGCTGGTTTCCCTTTAAAATACCTTTAAAGCACATATCTGACGGTTCTGTTTTAATCTATTATTGAGACACCTATTATTTTTTAGGCGAGTTCACAGGGTTTAAGAAGAAAAAAATGAATTATGGGCCTTCTGTTTTAAATTCTAGTCTGTAAACCAATTGTAAGGGTGTAACTACAAGCAGCTTCGGGCCTTTACATGTATAAAATTGTATGCTTGCTTATTCATATGTAACGACGGGTCGTGATCACCAAATTTTAATTTAACTATTCACACTTATACACACTTATACAGAAGGTTCACTTCAGATATCACGCACACCTTACATGAGCACATGGTTGAAGATTACGTTACGTCTTTTTTTTAGCCAAAGCTTTATTGAAGGAAAGAAAATGCATAAAAAGTGTTAGCATGTGATAATTAGAGAATGGTTTATAGGGCTTGGAATTGGACATTCCCGGGTTTTTTTTTCTCGAAAAATGGTGATTTATTACGGCTAGACACTGTGTTAAAATGAATTGTTAGTCCCGTCGAGCGAACAGCTGCAGTGGACTGCTGACGTAATGATGAGAAGCAATGGAAGGCTGCACAAAGAATTTATAGCCTTTTTGTTTTCAGAAAATTCTACCCGCTCTCTCTATATAATCGGAATGGAACATCGTCTATTGTTGCTTTGTCGCAATAAACTTGAAATCACCTTCAGCTCACGGTCTTGACTAGCACAGGGCCTACACACTGGGGTTAAGAAGCTATTAATGATTAATTTGATTATAATTATAGGTTCTTTGTAAAGTAAAACAAAATGAAAACCAAACGGCTGTGAGAAGAATGTACATACACTACTCATTACCTGAAATTTATCCATTTAAACATTTAGATGTACATTTCATACAATTAAAGGTCGTTAGATAAATTGCCGAAAGGATTTGTTCTAGAAAGAGTAACCAAGCGATAATTTGGTCGAAGTTCTTTGGTAGAAGATAACTTTGAGGCGAAGGCCGCCAGCCCAGTGGCTTAAACACAAACGTACAACAATATATGGCACCATTTCCTTTCTCTAAAGACTGCAAATCAGATAACTTTTACTCCCGCCTAAATGTCCACAAATAAAATACTCTCTACTTACCACCTGTATCAGTAACATGGACTTTAACTCGTCGCCCATGTTTCTTGAATTCTAACTCAGCACTTGCATTTGGTGTAGAGGAATAACAACAACACCCTCCAACATTTGAGTCAGTTTTTTGGCTGAGAGTTCGTATCAATGAAGTTTTACCCACACCACAGTCACCCAATAAAATCACCTTAAATCGGTAATCAAATTCCTCCATGGCAAGTAGAACTGATAAAAATCAACTTGGTCTTAGGGTGAAATTATTCAACAATCAAATTCGGTCGTCAAATCCCAATTAAGCTCTGTTTCTATTACGGCAACATCAGTGTTTCTCCGGTCCATTTAATCCAATGAAAGACTATGTTAATAATCCACGAATGATTGGATATTATCTATTTTGTTCAGTGCACATAATGTACGTTACAGTTGATTGGCGTTGGCAACATTGCACATAAATATATTATATCCAAACCTTGTCATTTAAATGTATCTAAAATTAATGCTTACGACTTCCAAGATATAAAACACTCAAATCCAAGGTTTACACTCCACAAAGACAAGCAAACATTTAAGACATAAAATAGTTTGTTAATTGTGATACCAACAGTGACACAGATGTACAGTATTCAACTGTGTGTTATCAAATCTTTAGCACAATGATCGTGGGCGCGATCCAACCATTCAGCTAGAATATAATTCTATGCATGTAGCCCAGCTATCATCACGTGAGAGTCAGTTAGCAAACAGAAGCCCTTGTACAATTCGTGAAGGGTTGATAAGGTATACTGGCATATGTTTTTACCTGTGTAAATGCGAGGGCAACTTGACTTGACCCGGCAGGGGAGTCCACAAGACAATCGTTGAGTTCCAACTGTCAAACGATTTCTGACGTGCATATACCAATTTATACACTGGCCCCGTTTTCTGTCCAATCCGAACAACTTCACACGCATGCCTTGCGCCATATCTTACAGCTGTTACCCCTAACAAGCGAAAATCGGGCTTAAAAAACACACGACTGGGCTCGAAACCAATCTCAATTTCGTTTCGTTTTATTTCTAGTGTTTTGCGTAAAGTTAGAAGAAAAATAAAAACGAAACGAAATTGTAATCTAATAATTTTCACATGTTCATTAGCTTCCTGGGGGGGGGGGGGGGTGCGCGCTGTATCATAAGGTCGGTCATTAAAGATGGGTTCCCGCGTACAAACTGGGTGATTTAATGGTATATATGGACCAAAAACATATTCAAACTAATTAATTTGTCATAATTATGCTTCAAATCCTTCTCAAACATTGTAATTGCGAAGGAATGCCCTGCTATTAAAGTTGTCTTTAATCGCTTTCTATTTATTACAAATATCGAATCCTAATTAAATTCTCGGATTATCCGTCATTTTTATCTCAGAAAGTATTGTACGTCTAACTCTTCATGAAGTTTATCAACTTGTACATCAAGCGCTCGATGTTCGCCTGTGACCTTTGACATCACGCGTGCAGGAGTTTCTAATCGTCGGGCTGTTGATTAGGGGAACCCTTACATTTTTGTCCTGTATACGCTCCATGAGTGTTTTCCGGGGAATCCAGTATTTTTCTAGTAAGATTGGATATCTCTACTTTCCATATATACCAAAATAGCCATACTTTTATTGGAAATAACCACCCGATAAATACTTTTCTGGGAACCCATCTTTAAGTCAGCTGGCGTGGTTTCAATTCCCCGATTGTACCTGACAAGGATTAGGGTCGCTTGTCCAACCTCGTGGGTTTTCTCCGCTGACCTCCTACTGCTAAAGACCTCAACGCGCAAGCGAATTATTGAATTAAAATTGAACCATATGTTAGTCCCGAAATGACCTATAGAGCCCTCACCTACCCCACCCCACCCAACCCAATATGAATTCTGTTACGACGTTTGTGAAGGCACTAACTGGGACATCTTTAATAGAAGGTTTTGATCTCGTTTTAACTCTGTGGAACTCCGCATATCTTTTTAGTTATTGTAAATCCCGTAGTTGTTGCTTCAGGAATATGAAGCTTGGATAATAAAGACGGGTATACAACATGCAGTGCAGTTTGTTATGTCACGGGGAGTTGGATGGCCGAATGGTTAGCACGTGCGTGCTGTAATCATATGGCCTGTCATTAAGTCAACTGGCGTGGTTTCGAATCCCCGGTTGTACGTGACAAGGAGTAGGGTCGCCTGTCCAACCTCGTGGGTTTTCTCCGGATCCTCCGGTTTCCTCCCACTGCTAAAGACCCCTACGCGCAAGCGAATTATTGAAATAAAATTAAACCATATTATTATGTTAGTCCCGAAATGACCTAGTTTGTGTCGAGTGGACGTTAAACCCCATCTCTCTCTCTCTCTCTCTCTCTCTCTCTCTCTCTCTTGTTATGTCACCCGAATTTTCAGAATGAATCAATCATTAACTAAACGAGTTTTCCACAAAGCTGCAATTAAGTATTATAGTATTCAAAACGTAAACCGCGAGAGATTTTATTTTACAATTATTTTCTATACTAATATTTGTGACTGTTGTTTGTCTGTCTGTCTGTTCGGGGTTGGCGGCTACACTAGGTCTGCCCCGAGTCTGAAATTTGGGGTATAGGGGTAGCTCGGACCGGGGTGTAACATAGGCCAGGTGGCGTTAGTCTACCACTTCCGGTTTCGGGGTTATGACCCCCGAGCGAAGCCGGGTATCCTGCTAGTATAAAATAAAAGGAAAATATCTGCTCAGAAAAGACAAAATTATCATATTAATCGCACCAAACCGAAGGCAAATTCTAGACCAACACCGGGGCCGTGATCGCTTATTTCGTTATTAAAAATAACAAAGTAAAGCGCCAACACGGGACCCTGAACGTTTTCGTCGTTTGGGCAGTGTACTAATCGAAGGATTATCGTATAAAAGCTGAACCACGCCGTGATACTCATTTGCATATGAAAATTTCATGTCATGTCATCGTCAACCAAATACGTACATTTCTTACCGCACAGCCCTTTTATTTATAGATAGCTGAATGATTCAGCAATCGAATATTCCTATTAGATTATGTTTAATTGTAAAGTAGCGTGTTCTGTCTATACTTGGCTTACCATCTCGACGCATATGGTTACAGGTATTTGCGTCATTCACGACAAAACCCCTGACAACGCATTCCCCGAATATCTTTCAAAGGGTTTTCTAAGCCACTGGACCAAATTATGACATTTATATATGTTAATTAAACCGAAGTATATACACAAGATAATAAAGATATCTTATTTTAGTGGTAATAAAGTAGTATAAGTAAAGCCTAGGCTTTCGATAATTATCCAGTCTATATGGTTATTTTAAATTTGATACATAGACACATTCCAAATTAAATAACATTGTCTGCCTTGGTGAAAGTAATATTATATTTCTTTTACCTAAAACTGTATACTTATTAAAGAGGGGCGCGGCCAAGGTCGCAAAGAGAACTTTATTGTGCAAAGAAATTATGAACATAAAATAATTATACTCTGTGAAACGAATACCGGCCATGCCGACGTAAAACAAAATTAAATAGATATTTATGGAGCCACTAGGGCTCTGGATTGATTCGGGACAACTGCCCAATGACATACTTATTATACGAACACACACAAAACATTGTCAAAACGATTGACAGAGCCCTGCACCACGAAATAAAAAAATAAATGAATAACTTGAATGTTAAGACAAATATGAAAATGTTTAGTTGACATGTTTAACCCGGTGACAGATAGTATCAGGTGTTTCGAACGAGTAAGTATATAACTCATCGTGTTCGACACTTGACACACAATCAGCCAGTCTAAGAAGGCACAATGTCACAAACAAAGAAATTTAAGATGAATTGTAGCTGTAGAAAATCGTTTGGGGCCTTTAAACATACATTATGCAAGAGCTAAATCTGTCTATTGCGGGTCTTTCTTTAGGTCTGAAATGTTATCTAAATTATGAATTAGACATTAATTAACCTATCCAGACTAGAATCAACTTTAGATGGCATCGCTAGCCTGCGATCTTTTGTGAGCCGATTTACTGCATAACTTTCCTTCACGATTTAACGATTAACTGGATAATCGAGACTATTCTGTTCGTCGTACTGACTTTAGTAATGATGATCAAGGTTAGGCGGAAATTCAATCGCTCTGTTCTCGGTTCATAGTGGATCAATTTGAATGAAATTTTCAGCAAATTGCCTTTACATTATCTAGTTTTTAACTATTATAGTGAGAACTGTCAACTCCTTATCGAATCTCCCATAATGTATCTTTAAGTATTCTTATCGGTGGTAATTATTTTCCACCGCAGGTGTTTCGGCGGCTATATTTATTGTGCCTGATAATTCCCTTTTGTAGTACTATCGGACTTCTTTTCTTGGTGTGTTTGTTTTCTTCGTGATTGTAATAACACTAAAGAATAAATGGTTTTACAACTTGATTGTTAAGCTGTAATGGCTTTGAAGGTTCCTCGTTCTCAATAATAATAGCTGCTTGGAATATCTGGACGAGTTCTGATCAATCTCGCTCTACGTCCTGTTTTATAACCCCCTAATTTCTGCACGTCTTAGATAGCCTTGACGTTAATTTCCATTCCAAATATGGAATAAACCTCTTTATTTCACAAGACCAGAGAAGGAAACATTACCTTATTTATTGGTCTACTAACCATTGGTCAATTAACAGATAGAATTTGACGGATATTTTGACAATGGTTATGATTTTACCAAAATATTACTGTTTTTTTTAAAAGTATAACTATATTTTCACGTTCATTAAGTACGTGTGATTTGATTCTATAGACAGTGTGAAGCAACAATTTTTCAACGAACCAATATTGTCTTAAGGACCAAAGTGCTACATTATAGCCATAATACAACTTTGGTTTAACCCGAGAGAAATGGGGTTTCATGTCCACTTGACACAAACTAGTTCATTTTGGTACTAACATATGTTTCAATTTCATGTTAATAATTCGCTTGCGCGTAGGGTCCTTTAGACAGTGGGAGAAAACCCACGAGACTTGACAGGCGACCCTACCATCTCCAAATGAGTTCTCCAAATACAAAACGAAATACGTGGCATCCATCAAAGGCTTAAAGGAGGCAAGTCTTTAACTCAATATCATCTACGGTCTTCAGCATTTCAAACACGACTTATTTTTCAATTGAAATCAGCATGATGTTGTTATCTTATCGTGAAAAGATGGGCTTGCGATATCCAATATTTCAGACATAATGAACATTTTAAAATGTTCATAATTCCTCCAAATTTCGGGCCGCCGGTTAGGGAAACCCTTACATTTTTGTCCTGTATGCGCTCCATGGGTGTTTTCCAGGGACTCTAGTATTCTTCTAGTAAGACTGGATGTTTCTACTTTCCATATATATATACCAAAATTGCCTACTTTTTTGGAAACAACCACCCGATAAATACTTTCCTCGGAAGGTATCTTTAAGAGAATTGAAAGTTTCTACACCTTTGAAAAAAAAATTGAGCATTATTAATGTATATATGTTATCTGTATTGCAAATATATACAATTCCCCGTCTTCATTAGCCCAGTATAGGAGCAGAACAGTAGGGCGTTAAACCCCATTTCATTTCATTTCATATACAATTCATAATCAATGTCGCTGTATTATGGGTCAACGACCTGATATACTGAATACAGATTATTATTATCATCGTTATACATAAAACACCATTTCGGACAGTACCTAAATTATACATAGTTATGGCATAATATTGGGGATGAAAATGCTTAAAATGTGGAAAGTTATACCATATATATACACATGTATAAGAAATCATTGTTGTTGGGTATCTTTTGTTTATGTATAGAAGCGGATGTCACGTCTCTGTTTTTCAATGACGTGTTAAACTAGAGTAAACGGCGGACTGAATATATTTTCGAAACAAAATGTGTTGTTTAGACAGGGGCGTGCTGGGCGAGCAGGCGGTAAACCTGAAATGGTTAATAACGTTCGAATCCGATGCGATTTCCTAACAGG